TTCGCGCTCCATACCAAACCAGTCTCTTTTTTGTTTTTCGCAACAGTGACTGTTTCATTGCAAGCATTTACATCCCATACAGACAACTCACGTTCTTTTCCACCGCAAGCAAATATATTATTTTCTTTAGGATGAACCCTTAAACGGCACAGGTCCGGCGTGATGGTAATGGTTTTATTTGTTGATGACGACTGAGAAATAGGATTTTATTATGATAAATATGATGCTGGATAATTCGTTCATTCATTCAGGGAACAATAGATCACCTACGTCATCCTCAGCGATGTTATGATACCTAACGATGCCCTTGTCGACACATGTCACCAAAGTGCTAATTCAATAAATTAGTCAGTAAAGAGAATTCACGGTGGTAATTCACCGACAAAGATGGAAACATACTTGTCATACGCGAATAAGCCAACGAATCGTGTGTCATTCTTTGCATCTCCTCCCATTAATTTCTCGGTGAAATTCTTGCGCACTTTTCCATCTTGTTTTGGATCTAATACTTCTATCACTCCGTTTTTGCGTGCAACTATAATCTAAAAATCACGCGGATTAAAAGCGACGAATCCGTTTAGATCAACGCGATTCGCATTCCGGGAAAAAAAAAAAAATAGCGGTCCTAGTAGTAACCTGATTTTTTTCCCCCAGAATATCTGCTTGATGTATTAATTGTACTTCATTATTTCGATCGATTTTTCCCCATGTCTTTGTTATCGGCGGTGATGCCTCCTTTTGTTGGGATTTCCGCGGTATCAGTATCTCTAGCAACGAATCGATGGCACGTTAACAATTTTCAAAATTAGGAATAGTGGATTTGATAAAAGCTACCTTTAATTAGCCCTGTTTCGTCTCCGGTGAAAAACTTCATTTTTAATTTTAATTTTTTTTTTTCAATGCATAAAACGGAATTTTATGCATGCCAGCTCGTGTAACCGAAATTATTAAATTACATAGATTTTTTTAAATATACTATAATTATCTCAGGGACGATTATATATGTTACATATACAGTATATTGTAAGATTGTGTTTTTATCTATTTTCAATAAATATAACATAAATTGAACATGTATATTAAAAAATAAAGTCAACAGACAAACTAATAGAATCTATGAGAAATCACTAATTGAATCATTCAACATTATTCTATAACTTGGATTTATTTAAAATTAATATCTGAGACAACATCATTAGGAAATTTATGAATTGAATTGAAAATCAAGAAAAAAAAAAAATCCATTCTTATTACAGTATTTCAGATTATTTTTTTTTATTTAATGCTGAAAATAACAAAGATGTTTTATTTTAGCAAAAGATCCTTGCTTGCTTGAGCCAACGATCTAAAAGGTGTCTAACGAGATAATGAGTTTCTTTGTTGTTTGATGTTCAGTGGGTCTCATTATATTTGTAAACAACTAGCAAAACTAGCTAGGCATTACTAATAAAAAAAAAATGTCATTAAATGATCACGTGCAAAATTTACGTGACAGATAAAAGCATGTTTTATGCCCGCACGGGAGGAAACTCAACAATCTCTCTCAATTATGGCGATAAAACAGATATCAAGTCCGCCCGAGGTCTTAACACGAGAGCAAGCAGCAGCCCAATCGCATCAGGATGCTTCAGAATCCGAAGGAATACTTCCAATAGTTCGTCATACTCAAGATAATGTTCGTGTCGTATTCACGCCTCCTGCGGCTGACGTCACTTTAGGCAAAGGGACTTTATGGGTTACCGAAAGGTATTCAAGTTCGTTACCAACGATAGTTGGACCGTCATGTTATTTGTTATTTTATAATGATTAACCAAGTGTATGCAGCAATCTTTTTTTTTACTCTTGGGAAACAGGTTCTGGACTGGCGATTGACTATCCAACAATAATAATACATGCTATCTCACGACA